GTCTGTGTTGAATAAAAAAAGTAAACGGCCATCTGTTCTTCCCAACTATCCTCTACATGTTAAATTACATCCAGATCTGTTAAGCAATTTAAGCTAACTCTAACAAACACCCATCCATCTAAACTTTCGTATCTATCTATACTATTATAATAAAGCGTAAACACACACTTCTTTGTTGCCTAAGATGTCAGCAATTACCGCACATTTTTGAATATTTTTTTTAATTAAAAGCCCTACACTTACGTTATGCTTTAGGCTATATATTTCACGCCATTAAACTTAGGGTGTAAATATTTTGGATGAAAACCTTAATGTGGGAAAAGACCATAAGTTGCTGCCAACATCAAGAAAGAAAGATTGCTAAGGTGTGCCATGTCATGTCATTTTGACATTTGCTTTTAATATTTTGACAAATCTAAATATAAAATAAAGCTATTATAGTTTCATGCGGGTAAAACCGCACGCGAACAGCTAGTTTATAATATTAGTGAGATATTAACATCCATATTAGAAATTTAAATAAATGTTTTGAAAAAACATCAGTCGATTTAGTTTGTGACGTCACAAATCACGAATATAACACATATTTTACAAGTAAACCTCGTACAGGTAATCAAAATTCTCACAATGTGAGAATTCAAGTGTTTTCAATTTCAAAACAGTACTACCGTTAGTATAATAGAAAAAGAATCAGAACAGTATTGATGCTGGCTGCTGTTTGGTCAATTGTGCTCTTGTATCGCCGACTTTCTAAAGCAAATCTCTAGCTTATTGTTCACTTAAAGATTAAATGTGATTGAAAAAGGAAACCGAACTAGTGTTCATACTTTGATAGAAAAACTATCGATGTATTGACAGAATTTATTAATAGTAACATCTGAAACTAAAAACTAAAACTACTAAAAAAAAAAGGTAAAGAACTAGAAAAAAAACTACAAGATAACAAGGTTGCTGCAAAAAACATAGCAGCAGGAAATAAAGAAAATAAAAAGAACAACTAAAACCAAACTGTCGCACAACTGTTTAGACTCGCTTTGATTCATATGAGCAATGAGGTATACTACACGATTTTTAGTTGTGCAAAAACAGTTGAATTGGCAGCGAAACAATCGACAATCGCACAACTGTTGTGCGATGGTTTAAAAAAGGGTCTAAATGTGGTAATTGAAAAAGGTTATTGATAATTGGGTAAATTAACTGTTAAAGTATTTTGAAATACAATTTAATAGTATCATCATCATCATCATCATCATCACCAGCTCACTATACGTCCCCACCGAGGGGCTCGGAGCCTACCCTAAATTAGGGTGACTAGGCCATAGTCAACCACGCTGCACAGCGGGTTGGTTGACTTCACACATATCTAAGAATTTCTTCGCCGATATGTGCAGGCATCACGATGTTTTCCTTCACCGTAAGAACGTCGGGTAAATTATGTACATATGAAAATTCGAAAAATCGAAAATCACATTGGTACATGGCGGGATTCGAACCCAAGACGTGTAGATTTACAAGTCAAGTGTTCAAACCACTGAGCCACCGACGCTCTTAATAATAGTATGGAGTATACAAAATTGTGATTCTTCATAACTGTGATGATGATCTTGGATTGGGTACTATTACTTTGTATTCGATTGACAGATGTATTTCGCGTCTGTGTAAGTCTTTTTTTATTTGTTTGTCTGCAAATTCCATTGTGACGTCTTACTGCCTAAACTAGTAACGATTTTGACAAATAAGGAATTTTTAATAGTTCCCGAAGTGTTATCAGGTATGTTAGACCACCCAAAACACCTATAATGGACGTGAGAAATTAAAATTTTAAAAATTACGAAATGTTGCGAGTTCATATCCCACTCGCAGTGATTTATTTTATTTCTTAATTGCATAAAAATGTGTTACTTATAAGAATTAAATGACAACTTTATTGATAGACGATAGATTGCTCTGTAGATCGAAAACTGGTGCATTTACCTTGCATGAAAGAGAACGGCAGAGAGATTATTATAGGGGAAAATTAAAATTCCTTAAAAAGGATTCAATGCGGAGTCCAATTAGTTCATATAAATAGGTTGTTTGGGGTTTCTCGGTTATTGTTTTTACTGTCAAATTTACGAAATTAATTTAATAAACTTTGACTTCCCGGATTTATTACGCAAGTCTATTTTAGTAACAGTTTTATGCATTAAAAAACTGTACGTGTTATTTTTTTTAGAACGTGTCGTTTACAAACAAAAATACATGCGGGATCGTGTACCGATATTTTATCCCTACAATAGCACTAAATTTTCATAACTGACATCACCATGTCATTCTGTCCGCCTGGTACAAGATACACTTTGTTAGGCGTTTTAAAACGGTTTTTTTAAACTCTGAATAACGTTTTTTTTCTAAAAAAAATAGAAGAACGTTTGCTTGCCTACTCGTAAATAAGTCTACGCTTTTGTTTCTATGTTTGCCATTTCCACCAACCACCCTCTTTAATTTATCCCTTAAACAGCTACTAATAATAATTTTACTCTCAACAATGAGGTATAATATTATAATTTTTCGTTAGATTTAGAAAGAAACAGAGACTTTCATAAGAATACTTTAAGGACTGGCTAGAAAATGGATGACCTTTTTTAGCCAGCCTTAGTTTTAGTACACTCATGGAAGTGTAAAATTAGGTCATTTACCTTTAAATAAGATTTTTTTGTTTCGTTCTGTTGTTTTTGTGTTAAAAAGTGTTTAGTTGCAAATATGATATGGTTTTAGGTGCATTATGTTGTTATTCCCATAGTTTGTTTCGCTGCATTTGTACCCATATTACACGCCCGAAGGGGTACTTATTCTTGTTACTTTGTATAGATGTTTGTATAAATTAATTGCAATAAATAATTAAATAAATAAATAATATAGTTTGCAGTTGATTAAATCCACTAATTATGTGATTGTCTTCAAACTTTATTGTACATTCATTTCAAATATATTTTCAAGCACTCTACTACATTAAAAAAACATGATCATCAATGATTTTAATATGTTTTATAACCCCTGGTCAATCAATTTGAATTCATTAAACATTTTCACTCTCGTGGTTCTCTCCCCTTGTCGTTAATGTCACCTCACCCACGTCAATGTCGAACTTAACTCGTCCTGACATCAATATGGCTAGAATTAGCATTACTTGAATACGTGATCGGTAATTTATATAGATTCCATTTTTTATTACGAACGATATGTAAAAAAATCAATCTAAAATACTAATAGTAATTAAAATAATTAAGGGCCCGATCCAAAAGGCGGTTATTTTAGAAACCGCACGACTAGTGAGGACGTTCCTGTCTCTGCAGCCCTGACCACTGGTTGCTTGAGTCATCGGATTCCGCAGCCGGTGGTGCTCTATTTTTTATATAATATATTTTATTTTTATATCAAATGTAATGTAAAATGTATTGCATAAAAAATAAGAAATAAAGATATATGGGAATTATAATAAAAGTCTTAGATTTTAACTAAATTCATTTAAGTTAAAACCTCCACACTTTTATTTCGTGTACGTTAAAGTGAAAATTTTCTATGACAGGTTAGTTGGATTGTGATAGAATAAACGTTATCCGTAGACTCCGCAGTTATAATACGCCAAACCAAAAATTATATAGTCCACGCCTCCAAAAAAGCAAAGCGACCGCTGCCCAGAGACGTTCGCAATTCGATATTTCCCCTTCCTATGCATCTCCTGCATCGTAAAATCCACGTTCCCTATCCTTTTCTTATAAGAAAAACGGTGGGCAGGAAAAGAGACTAAAGTTGGGCCTCCAGCACCATACTCATAAAACGAAACGCGTAATTGCTTTCACTTCACGCCTAACTTCTGTGTGGTCATGGTATTCCAGAGGGTAAGCCGGCCCATTCGTGCAAATGATAAAGCGGGCTCTACCACTGTTAAGGGTATATACCATTACGAGTATAGTCTACCACTTTAGCTATAACACTATCATAAAAAAAGTTTCTTATTTAAGTACGTCTGCAATATAATTAATTTCTTCAACTATTTTATCACGTTAATTTACTTTAGAACAGATACGAAATTCTCTTTCACAAGTAACGTCGATAACCCATATAGAAATAATTGAATTACAACGTTCATCAAGCAATTATCCCAATCTACGAATATCAAAGCGCTCCGGAGTAAAGGTGACGAGAGGCATCGGATCATTAAATAATTTCAATAAAGTCAAATGCACAGAGCACGAAATATACTGAAAATTTCATTTAACAAATTGAACAAACCTTTGAGTAATTTATTATATTAAGATGACTTGAAGAAAATTGAAATTATTCAAACGAAATCTATATCTATACTATTATAATAAAGCGTAAACACAAACTTCTTTGTTGCCTAAGATGTCAGCAATTACAGCATATTTTTGAATAATTCTTTTTTTT